AAATGAAAATAAAACCCAACTCCGAAAATAAGCCCACGCGGTAAATTAGCGGCATCCCTTAGCGGTATATCTCCAACAGCAAGTTACGATAGCGCCACACACGCTGAAAGCGGGGATAGCCTAAACAAATACCCTGCGGGGAAAGCTACTAGTTGTGAACTAGAATTCTACCGGTTTGCGATTCAGCCGAACTAGTTCACGTTCTATCCTTTTTCAATGCTAGCGACTGGTATTTTTAACATTGCGATGTCCTACGAGATGTCAATTGTCGGGCTATGCATCAGCATCTACTATTATAAATACTAGTAGCATCATACCAGTTGATGAGATAGTCTGCCAATTCATGCCCCGTGAAAAGCATAAGAGTGCCTTTTTGCTCGCGACGCTCCAGCAGTCACAATGGCCGACAGAGCAGAGCACTCGCATGGTTAGCCTGAGGTCCCAGGTTCAAATCCTGGCGCAGGGAAACTTTTTTTATTTTCTATTTTTTATTTTATTTTTATTTTTTTATAAATTTATTTTTTTGTTTATGCTGTTTATTGTAATTTTTAAATTTAATTAAAAAAATATTTTTGTTTAATTTCTTTGTTTTTATATTTCTTCCTAAATCTTTTTTTGCAACGCAATTAGATTTTCAAATTTGTTATTTATTTATAAATTGAATAAATTATTTTTACTTACATTTATTTAACTTTAAAAATCTTAACCACCTCCAAGCGGCCTCGAACCTGCGATTTCAGAACCAGAACCAGTAGTCTTCACGTGACGCCACAGCCGACATTTGTAAGAAAAGCAATTAATTGCGTTTTATTTTTGGCTTTGGCAATTCAAAGGCAGATGTCGCTGATCGCCTAAGTTCTTCGAAATTGTCGAACTGGTAGGCACATAATAGTTAATGAACTAGTATTTTTTCTAACTGGTTTGGCTTTTCACTGCAGGGTAACTATGACTGAAGCAAAAATCGCCAAACTAAAAGTCAGACGCGCTACAGTTATTGGACAACAACAACGCGTCAAGGAATTCGTCGATAGCAAACTACCCAACGCATCGGTTGAGGAGATCGACACCAGACTCCAGGCGCTTGAAAAATATTATACAGATTTTCAAACCATTCAAGCCCATTTAGAGGAGTATGAATCCAGCGACACAGATGCTGTCCGTCCAAGTTATGAAGAGCTTTACTTCAACCTACGACCAACGCTTATGACAGCAATAAGTAACATAAAACACAAAAATAAAAATCTTAACGGAGGTGATGATCAAAAGAATGCACTTCGTAGTAAGTCACTCAAGCTGCCCGAAATACCGTTGCCTACGTTTTCGGGAGATTACACTCAATTGCTCTCATACTACGAAACCTTCTCCGCACTGGTACATCGAAACGCTGCAGTCGATGATGTCACTCGCTTTCACTACCAGCGCTCTTCGTTACGAGATGGCGCACTTCGACGCATAGGGCCATGTCTCACGATCAATATTTATTGACGTGATCCAAGTATCGCGATATTTATTGACTGTGTAGCATGCAATATTGATGGATCGTGATCCAAATCGCAAAATTTCTAGAAATTTTGAAATCTGGATCGCGGATCGCAGTACTGTCAATAAATATTGAACGTGTAGCATATTTCGTTCGCGATACGTCAATACGTGTGTATTTCAAAATAAAGCGGAGATTTAAATGTTAAAGGCGAAACGTTAATTATTGGATTAATTATTTATTTGGCAGTGGTAATTTTTAATAATGTCGGACGACGAAAGCGCACATATCCAGCCGGCGGTGTTGGGATTAACGAATGACCAAAGGTGTTTGAAGGAGTTTATCCTACAATTGGAAAGTATGCCGGAATTGTGGGATCCTTCGTCCAAAAGCTACATGAATAAAATAAAAAGAACGGCCGGACATGAGAAATTATTACTAATCTTAAAAAAAAATTAATGATAACGCCACTGTAGGTGATGTCAGAAAAAAAATAAATTCTTTACGATCAAATTATCGCAAGGAAGTGAAAAAAATTATTGACTCCAAGCGCTCCGGAGCTGGTACAGAAGACGTTTATATTCCAAAGTCTTGGACATTTAACGCTCTTCACTTTTTAAATAAAAATGAGAAGCCTGTTGACCTGGTAAGTAAATTTGTTTTAAAGATTTCCTTGAATTCTACTCATACTCTAGTGAATACCTAGCTATAAAGGTGGAAAGAAAAGAAAGTAGTATGTAGATTGTCTGTTGTTTTAAGTGAAAACTTTTATTATTCTTTTTTTTCATATACATAAGTGATAAAAATTGAGTGGCAAAAGTTAGCATCTATATTCGTCATTGTAATATTTGCAAAATTTGTCTCTTATAGTTTTGGCACATCTTGTTGAATTTCGCGCCGAACTGCTTTGTATAGTGGTTAATTGAAAATTATACTCATTGGAATTTGGTGCCTGATAATTAGANCATATAAATAAGTGATAAAAATTGAGTGGCAAAAGTTAGCATCTATATTCGTCATTGTAATATTTGCAAAATTTGTCTCTTATAGTTTTGGCACATCTTGTTGAATTTCGCGCCGAACTGCTTTGTACGGTGGTTAATTGAAAATTATACTCATTGGAATTTGGTGCCTGATAATTAGAATCTTTTCTCATTAAATAAAGTAATTTTCGTAGTCGCTTAATTCCTTGCAAAGTCGAATCGAATCCAATAATCTCAAATGAGTGTACCTATGCCGCTCCAGGTACCATCTTCGACTCCAATACTTCCTCTTTGTTTCTTTTTTTAATGAAAATGCCAGTAATGTGGCTAAACACGCTCTTTTTGAATTTTCTTGCATTTTTCTTATTTAAAAACGACTTGCACAGTTCAAAGTTTGAAAATAATGACGCGATAAATATTGAAGGTGTAGCATAGCAGAGAGTGGAGCATCATGCATCAATATGGATCACGACACTGGATCGCGATCCATATTGATCGTGAGACAGGGCCCATACAGTCAATGGAAGTCACTGCTGAAAACTACGACGCTGCACTTAAGCTGCTTGTAGAGCGATACCAACGACGAAATATCATCGTACGGGAGCACATACGACAGCTCTTCAACATACATTCAATTGCGGCGAAAATCGGCCCACTTGCTTTACGAGACTTGATTGATTCGGTAAGCATACAACTAAGAGCGTTAGCATCATTAGGGCGACCAGTAAAGCACTGGGATGACTTGGTTATCGAACTAGTGCTGTCAAAGCTTGACAACACAACACTAGAAAAATGGAACGACGAGTCTCCAACTGACCGCCTTCCCACCCTGGACGAACTTTTCAAATTTCTGGAAGAACGCTGCAATCACTTAGAGGAAAGATCGTCCGTCCAGCGGACGAAATTACCTTCACAACCATCAGAAAGCCTCGGCAAGGCCCCACCAAAAAATCGTTCAACACAGCCGCGCGCATCCTTTGTCGCTACAGAGAATTTAAAGCCGCAACGCGATTGTACATTTTGCAATGGTACAAACCATGTCATCTATCGATGCCGAAAGTTTCTCGCTCTCAGCCCAAAACAACGTTTTGATGCTATCCATCAAAAGAATTTATGCAATAATTGCCTTAAAAAGGGTCAAAGCATCTGAATTGTAATTCCGAAAAATGCAGAACCTGCAACAACAACCATCACACCCTGCTGCATAATAACACATTTTACTTAAATGCAGTCCCTGCTTCGCAACCGACTCAGTGCACTGCCTCTAAAACCGATTGACAATTAGTTTCCCGCAGTGTAGCAGGAGAAAGCTCAGCCACAATCGCCAGACCTGCAATCGCTGCCAATAAACTCAATGCTAGTACAGCAGCAACAAACAAACTCAACATTAGCACTGCACTAATAACGTCAATAGATAGCAGCTCATCAGCAAGCGCTCTCACCGCGACAGCGCATACTTCCAAGTTTACGGTTCTTCTTGGTACCGCGCTTATTCACATTGTTAACAAATGGGGAGTTCCACTGCTGTGTAGAGCACTATTAGACTCGGGATCTCAGATGAATTTTGTTTCCGAGCGCATAGCTGTTCAGTTAGGCTTAAAACGACAGTTAGCTGACGTTGCGATTTGCGGCATTGGTGAAATCAACGCCAAAGCTCGTCATTCTATTACAACAATAATAAAATCCAACACATCGGATTTTTCAGCTCAGCTTACATTTTTAATATTGCCCCGTATAGGTGAAAATCACCCGGAATTTAATTTTGACATAGCTCGATGGAGTCTCCCAGCAGACCCCACATTTTTTAAGCCCCAAAAATTTGACGTGGTACTGGGCGCTGAAATCTATCTTGATTTATTAATCAACGAACAAACTCGATTAGCTGATGATTTACTGCCCCTTCAAAACACGAAACTGGGGTGGATAATTGCTGGAAGAGTTCCGGCCGCAAAAACTACTAGCTTCCATTGTAGCAAAATATCTGCGCCTTCGGTTGTTTCGTTGGAAAAGCTGCTTCGCCAATTTTGGGAAATCGAAGCTCATTGTAATCACGCCAGAGTTATGACGGCAGAAGAAAAACTCTGCGAGTCCCACTTCGTCCCAACAGTAAAACGAACGGAAGCAGGTAGATTTATTGTCCGACTACCATTCCGACAGTCACCAACCTCATTAGGAGATTCGCTCGCAGCAGCAAAACGTCGATTTTTCGCACTAGAACGCAGATTGGCTAAGGAGCCATAAGAGAACAATATTGTCAATTCATGCGTGAATATAACACTTTGCACCATATGAGCCGACTAGGCGACTCTAATAGCTTTGCATCGGACAGCTACTATTTTTCACCGCACCACTACGTAATAAAAGCCGAAAGCTCTTCCACAAAATTGCGCGTCGTTTTTGACGCCTCAGCAAAAACCACTTCTAACGTGTCACTCAATGACGTGCTAATGACCGGACCCACTGTCCAAGCTGATCTGTTCTCTGTAATTACGCGTTTTCGAACATATCGCTATGTCTTTACATCAGATATTAGTAAAATGTATAGACAAATACTACTGGACCCTACCGACTGTCAGTACCAACTAATCCTCTGGAGGGAAAATTCTCTAGATCAGCTTGAAATTTATCAGTTAAAAACTGTTACGTATGGCACATCTGCTGCGCCGTATTTGGCCACGCGTTGCTTAACGAAACTAGCTGAAGATAGTTGTCGGAAATATCCGTCAGCGTCCACAGCGTTATTATTAGAAACTTACGTCGACGATATAATGACAGGCGCTAATACTTTAGAGCAAGCCGCAACTCTTTTGGCAGATCTCAACGGCTGCTTAGCACAGCACAATTTGAATTACGTAAATACTGCTCTAACAATCCTGAGCTGTTACAATTAATCCCAGAACAGCACAAAGAACCATTCTTAAGAATTGGAGATAATGATGTGGTGAAAATGTTAGGTTTGATTTGGCATCCCACTGCCGGCACATTCGCCTATCATTTTGACTTTAAACGAACGAACATAACTACCAAGAGAACAGTGCTTTCGGATCTTGGAAAAATATTTGATCCCCTCGGCTTAATTGGACCTGTCGTAGTTCTAGGAAAAATTTTTATGCAGCAGTTGTGGAAGCTTAATATTTCCTGGGATCAACCGCTACCCGAAGACTACGAAAAACGATGGAAAAATTATGTCCAGCAACTGGAAAACCTAAACTCGTTACAACATCCCAGACATTTATTGTCATCAGCGGTAAGCAAATCGGTACAGCTCCATTCCTTTTCTGATAGAAGCGAAGCTGCCTATGGCGCTTGCTGTTACTTGCGGAGCATCGATATAAACAACAAGGTCACGGTGCAGCTAATATGCTCCAAATCGCGAGTAGCGCCTTCCAAGTCAACATCAATTGCCAAATTAGAGCTTCAAGCAGCTTTACTTATGACGGAACTGGTTGAACGTCTGCAAGACATTATTCCCATGCCTATAGAAGATACAATTTTCTACACCGACTCTAAAATCGTGTTGGCTTGGATAGCAAAGCCTTCATACACATGGACGACATTCGTCGCAAACAGAGTGGCGAAAATTCAAGAACTTACGCGCAAGGAAGAATGGAGCTACGTCAGCAGCAAGCAAAATCCTGCAGACATCATCTCACGCGGCGCTCTATCAGAAGAATTCATTAACTCATCGCTGTGGACTAGCGGTCCAGAATTTCTACACTCAGCAGCACTGATTCGGCCCAGGCAACCACAATCAGATCAGTTAGACGAGGTTCCTGAACGTCGACCAAATAAGCTTGCGCTTTTTTCGGCGAACCCAGCACACAGTGACTTGACAACCAATATAAGTCATCGTGAATCGCTGCATCGGCTAGAACGCATTGTCGCTTATGGCCTACGGTTTGTGAATAACGCGAAGGCCTCCACACACAAACGGATTGGAGGGCCGCTAACCATGCTCGAGCTCGAAGCAGCACTTACAGCCATAATTCGAAATACTCAGCGCAGTTATCTTGCAGCAGAGCACAGTTCATTATCTAAATGTGTCAGCGTCGATAAGTCTAGCCGAATCCGGAGTTTCGACCCATTTCTATGCTCGGAAGGACTCATCCGAGTCGGTGGTCGTCTCCAGGATAGTAATCTAGAATATCGCTCGAAGCATCAGATTATTCTACCAAAAAATTGTACTTTAACAAAAACTTTAGTTTTTTCTTATCATTTCATGCACTTACACGCTGGGCCGCAAACGCTTCTCTCAATCTTGCGCCAACGCTACTGGCTTATTGACGAAAAAAATCTTTGCAGCAACGCGGTACATCGGTGCGTGAGGTGTTTTCGCACGAAACCCACCAAACAAGATCCGTTCATGGGCAACCTTCCAAAAGAGAGAGTACAACCTGGGCGCGCCTTCCTAACAACAGGTATTGATTTCTGCGGTCCTGTTTCAATACATTCACAAATTCGAGGAAGAGCACCAGTAAAAGCATATATGGCCATATTTGTATGCTTCACCACGAGAGCCATCCATATAGAGGCAGTTAGCGACCTCTCAACCGCAGCGTTTATTGCAGCCTTGCGCCGTTTCATTGCTCGCAGAGGGCTCTGCAACACCATTATCAGTGACAATGCTACGAATTTTGTGGGTGCCAAAAACGAACTTGCTGAGCTTTATCGACTTTTCAAAACTGAAGTCCATCAAGAACAACTGCAGCCACTCTGTCAAGAAAATCGCATAACCTGGCGCACAATCCCTCCAAAATCGCCCCACTTTGGCGGATTGTGGGAGGCTGCTGTGAAGCAGGCAAAATATCACTTGGTGAGAGTCGTTGCCAATGCTACACTCTCTTTTGAAGAGCTCGCAACCATCACTGCTCAAATAGAGGCGATTTTAAATTCACGCCCACTCACGCCGATCTCCTCCGACCCGTCAGACTTGGAAGCTTTGACACCGGGTCATTTCCTCATCGGAGAGCCTCCCAGTTCATTCCCGGAGCCTGATCTTACTGACGCCAATTACAATCGCTTATCACGCTTTCGCCGTTTGAAACAGCGACAACAGCATTTTTGGCGTAGGTGGTCAAGAGACTACCTGCATTTGCTCCAACAGCGTCATAAGTGGACATCGAAAGCGCCCACCCTACAGCTGAACACACTTGTGCTAATTCAAGACGAGAATCTACCACCGTACAAGTGGCCGCTTGGTCGAGTTTTGTCAACGATCCCTGGTCGAGATGGAGTTCACCGTGTTGCCGAAATAAAAACGCAGTATCGGATCTACAAACGAGCTATAGTGAAGCTATACCCTCTACCCATTGACGATTGAAAATACTGAAGTATATTTCAAGGAGGCCGGCATGTTCAGTCGCAGCATTGTTCCTTCATAAATTTTCTTCTTATTTATACATATGTATGTATGTACTTCATATTTAAAATTCTTTAATTTCCTAATCTTAATTATTTTCTACCGATTTAAAATGTATTACTTAATATGTATTACCGAATATTCATATACCGACTTCATAAGTATATTTAATATTGTAACTCGACACATCACTAAATCAAGCTATTAACCTAACGGTCAAATTCCAATAGCGTTTACATGTAAGTTTGTCTTTATACATATGGATATAAGCTGTCGTTGAAATTATCTCTTTGGTATTCTTTCGCCACGCTTCGCCGTGCATACACGTAAACGAAGATTAATAAATCTTGACTTTTTTATATAAAAGAATCAAAATCGACTTTGATTCTTAACAGTAGGGGTGCCGCGAAATTTTTTTAGCACAACAAGGGTGCCGAGGTGAAAAAAGTTTGGGAGCCCCTGTATTAGAGTAAACGCGCTCTAGAATTTTGGAAGATCCTCCAGGAGACTTCAGGCGCCTGGAATAAACAGTCCCGCCTACTGGACTAAAGAATCATTTCCAAACAAGGATCCTTTCAAGGGGTGGATGGGAGGAGGATTCAGTCCTGACCTCATACTGTGATTCAGCAGCCTTCTACACCGATGGCTCCAAGTTAGATCTGAAGGTGGGAAGTGGGATATGCACGCAAGAACTCTCACTTAGCCTCAGTTTTCGTCTGCCAGATTGCTGTAACTATCTTTTCTGATAGACAGGCAGCTATCAAAGCACTTAATTGTGACAAATGAGCTGCCAAGGAGTTACTCTACTCAAGTTGTATGGGTGCCAGGTCACAGGGACATACCGGGCAACAGTGCTGCGGACGAGCTGGCTCGGAAAGGAACCCTACTGTGATCAGTATGGCTCGTAATGCGGGTGCTCCGCTCTCTTCTTGTAAACACTGGCTGCAGAATAACTTTATCGAACGGGCAAATGCAAGATGGTCTGCGGAGCTCACGTGAAGGATAGGGAGACAACATCTGGCCTAGGTTAGATAAGCGTAGATCTTGCGCTCTCTTCCGTTTGGAGCGACCAATGCTCCGCCATGTTATTGGAATTCTCACCGGGCACTGCCTTATGGGAACCCACGCTGCCAGGATGGGTTTGCATCCAAACGATTACTGTCTAGCTGCCGCGATGAGGAGGAAATCGAAAGCATGGAGCATTACTTATGCCACTGTCCCGCTTTGGCAAGGTCTCGTCGACGCTCGCTCACCCGCTATTCTTTTGAGTATCTGGCTGAACTGGATTCGGCCAGTATCTACGATTTTGTTCGCTTCATCAGAGCTACAAATTGGTTCCATTTCTGAGGTAGGAGGAGAGACGTTAGGAGTCTCTAATATGGCATCACAATGGGCCCATGGAGCCTAAGTGTGCCCTTTTCCTGTACGGATGACGGCAGCCAGGATAACCTAACCTAACTTAACCTAACGCCATGCGGGTTCACTAGTTTTCATAATATTTTAGGCTCATTGTTTCAGCCCAAATTGGAGCACCTTAGAGTAAAACTGCGCTGACCACTTTACTAAGCAATACCCTTCTATTTGGTTTGGGACCGCCGATATTTGATATCGTTCTAGATAAGCATGCCTACAAATTGCGATGCTTCCCTTGCTGCATACTCAATGGTGGGCCATAAAGTTTACGCGCACATCAATCATTACCCCCAAATATTTGATTGCGGGCTTTGGTATTATAGCCTCTGATCCAACACTAAGTCTTATTGTCTCTACGGTATTTCTGCTACTTATCAATACTGCCTCTGCTTTGTGATGAGCGAGTTCTAAATATTTTGATGATAGCCATACCTTCACTCTCTTTATAGCTTCGCTGGCTTTCCTTTAAATAGCATGTATAGCTTCGCTCCTATTACTACAGCGTTATCGCCTGCGAATCCTATTATATTTGCCCGAGGAGGCATATTGATGGTCAGTGGCGTAGCCTGGGGGGATATGGGGGGATAGATCCCCCTTCCCCCCCCTTCGTCATTGAACTACAATTATTTACTTTTGAATTAATAGCACAATACTATTTTATCCTTCTGATTTAAAATTTTTTTTATTTCAGCCGGATGACAAATTATCTTTTAATGAATATATGAGTAGTCCACTTGCAAACAGCGTTATGTGATTTTATAAAAGTAAACCATAAAATAAAAAAAAAAACGTCTACGACAACAAGTCTAACATCCGAACTGTAACTTTTTTATTACCTGAAAATGTGGATAAATAAGAGCCTAATACCATTAAAAAAATAAAATTGCAGTATGGTAGATTTGCAAATTTTATATTTAAAAATTTAATATTGCAAGTTTTCCAACAGTAACTTTTACATAGCTAGCTTTTTTTAGCTTTTCGCGTTCTCTCCTCTAGGAAGATTGGTTTGCTTCTTTTTTGCGACCTCTTCCACTAGGCACCGAAACTACCACGCTTTCTTGCAGTTTTCTAAGTTCATACCAAGAGGAGACATTTGAAAGTGTATAAATAAGTATTACAGCGACTTTTGCACGAGTAGTTAACATTTCATGCTATTTTTTTTTCAGAATATAGAAAAATTTTTCACTCTGCTGTTAGTGGACATGAAACCCACCAAAAATTAAAAATCTTAAAAAAATGTACATAGCGCACTTTGCAAGTGGACTACTCAATTGTGGAATATGCTATCTTATTTGGCTCTTCTTTTAATAAAATTAAGGAGCGGCTGAATGGTTTAACCACGTTAGCGGTGCATAATGATGTGCCGATTACAACACAAGAAGTAATTGAAAAAATGTGTGTTAAGGAACGAATATTAAAAAACGATTTATAAGTAATAAGATTTTGTAGACTTGTACATAAATAAATGTAAATAGATACGCGTAAATATATAAATATGCAGATATATTCAATCTGTAAAAACTGAAGTGTATACTAAACTTCTACAAAACAAAACTGGACTACACAATAATTAATTAAAATGGTGTAGTACTTAAATTTTTTAAATTTAAATAAAGCATGAATTCCCCAGGGAATAACCGAGTAGACAAAAAATATATAACGGTAGAAACGGCACATACATACTATATGAAATAATGCCCACAGGCGACGCACTATAGGCAAAACACGAGTTTTTTTTCAAAATCGTAGAGCTTCGCTTAGAAAATAGATAATGGAATGCAGCATTTAACCCTTTAATGCAGAGTCGTCATATATGAAACGCTTTTTAACCCTTTCAAGGCAGAGGAAAAAGGTTCTCAATATGCTTTTGAACGTGCTTTTTCTCATGTTGACGTAGATATTAATCGTAGAAAATTTTCCATAGTAAAATAATAATAAAAAAAAATAAATAAAAAAAATAAAATAAAAATATTAAAAATAACAATAAAAACAATTAAAAAATAAAAATAAATAAAAAGTACGTTGAAAACATATTGAGAACCATTTTTCCTCTGCCTTGAAAGGGTTAAAAAGCGTTTAATATATGACAGACTCTGCATTAAAGGGTTAAATGCTGCACTTTCGT